AATCTTTTGAATCACTTTAATAATGAGCGTCGCGCGTCAATTCGCATATCATTCATATATATACGCGATTTTTGCATTTTAGAAATCAATTTACCATTTTTAAATTCAACATCACGGCAATGTGTGTGTTCACTTATCGATCACAATTATCAAGATTGCACTTGTCATTGAAATTAAACAGTTTTATAATTAAAATCATCGACACATTTCGCTGATAATGATTTTTCCAACATTTAGGTTTAATCAACAACAAAATGTATGAAAACGTCATTAACAGGATCTTTATCGATGCTTTCAACGTGATCTCTTAGAAAAAGTGAAACTTTTCATAGGCGATTACTATTTCTCGACAATTCTAATTATCTCACGAGGCGCAAAATGAAACTCAACGAAGTCGAAGAGATATATATATATATATATATTCGACATCGCGATATAGAAGATAAGTGAAAAGAACAAGAAGGTGATAAGCATCAGCGGCCAATTGAGCAAATAATCACAGAAGCTATGACTGATAATAACATACGTAACATCACGAATGTCATTATCGTATATGTAATATACGTATATATAAAGCCGCTATTTTGAGCAGAAAAAATAAGGCGTCACACTAACAATAAGTATACGAGAGATCAGGTACGCTTAAGCAAATTTCCGAGATTTGACGCGAGTTTTTAATCTTTTCGAATATAAATCCGAGAGTTCACGAAACTGTTATGAGAGATTCTCGCCATGTGTTAAATTTATTCGAATTTCCTTCGTACACGAAAACACATATTTGTATTCACTGAATTATATATAGATAAGAGTAGAAAATCAAAAGATCCAGTCAACGAGCCAAACTGCATAATTTATTTCAGACTATAATTTATTTCAACTATTTATTTCAAAAACACCCTGCAGCTGGTGGGTCCTTCTAAATCGACTATCAATTCACGAAATATAAACGTTTCTGTACCGTCATTATCGAGAGAGACTAATCAAGTGTGTGGATAAAAGGGGAACGTTCAGGGAAAGGCATTGTTAATACACGAAGACTGACGAGAAGAACATTAGCGCGAGCTTAACGACGTCGGACGATGTAATGTCTGAAATTTCTTGGAGCGAACCTGCGGGAAAATGGAAACGTTTCTATTACATATCCTCGCCGGAATCGGTAAATGGACCTAACAAGCATTTCACCAGTTCTCGGACGACGGCGCGGCGATTACGTCAAAGAAGGACAACTGTATTCCAATGAACGAGGAGGCTAACGAGCGTCGCTAATGCAGGAAGGACTCAACGGCTCTATCTTCGCACGAGGATGGACGGTCTAATATCGGATCTCGTAAAATTCCAAAGCCTCGTCCCGCTAGGCAAATATACCTCCGCCGTGAACAAGCCACTGTGTGATAGTCGTAGATAAGACCTTTAATGCTCGGACGATAGCACACGAGGAGCGAATACGCGTTAACTGATTTGTAGGAGACGTTAATTCATGATGCGCAGGGGAAAACAATCAATCGTAAGTTAAAGAAGCTAAACTCTCAAGCTCGTGATAAAGTTAGAACACAAATTATCAGACGAGTAAACGTATATGTGATCCACAAAAGTGGAGAGATTCGAAGAGGAGTCTTTTACAACATTTTCTCTATATTGATAAAAAAAAACAACATGCATTTTTTAAATAAATATTAGCGAAAGTAAAAACTAGATTCATATAGGCATTTTAAAAATTTTCGAAATCTAGTATCACGTGTCGTAAAGGCGCGAGGTTGAATATTCTTAAAGGGTCTGACAGGGCCAAAAGGTTGGACACTGCGCCATTATCGAAACATGAAGGAATTACGGAAATGAACGGGCCGCGATGCGTTAAGCGCATTATAACGATCAAGAATTACGATGATTAGCGGGATGGCTGTGTAATGCCGCTCCAGAGAGCAATCTGGTCCCCGGTGCGGTAGGCCTCGACGAAGTGCTTTACGGTGGGCCCTTCTTATTAAAGTCCCCATGACGCGCGCTCCCATGGAACGATCGCCGCGCGTTCCCATAAAAATATCTCTCTCTTCCCAAATTGGGCCGTGAATTACAAGCCGCGTTTGCGCCCCTAAACGACTCTTTTAGCCCGCCAAGTAGATACCGTTATTAACGCGTTTACCGGCCAGTTTATATACACCTATAGTGTACGTCGTTACGCAACCTCAACTGCCAGACGCAAGTACGACACCGCGGAAGCGTATAAATTATTCGTTGGTATTTCGGTAAATATCGCGTAATGTCAACGCGGTGTTTCGGGCATTAATAGACGATGACGGATTTGTTGGAACTACTAACGACGGGTTCGTTGAACTACCTTCTTCAAATAAGAACCCGCCCGCGTCTGAAGAGTGTGCTTTTTTCCGATGACCCAAGTGATAATGAGTCGTCAATGTTATTATCATCTTTCTGTTACTCTAAGCATTGTATTCTACAACGACCGAGGAAATATATGCAAAATATAAATATAAATCGTGCAATGTTATGCAAATAAAATTAGAAAAAGTTGTATAACAGTGTTTCCGACACTCAACAAGTTAACGTTTGGAAAATCATTTTTTGTTTTTTATTCACTGCTATATCAACGTCAGATTTCGCAAAAAAAAGTCTAGCAAATCAAACGGCAAGGCGAGGAACAGCAACTGTGTCAGACATACCAGCATCAACAACGATGACGCCAGGCAAATGAATTCGCGCGATACGCTGCGTAACGAGTCTACCGATGAATAAAAAGAAAAGGAGATGACGCCGCGTTTGCGTAGGCACATTGTTGGTACATCGGCGCGACTAAACCAAGTACCACACAACGATCGAAGTGGAAAATAAATCGCCGGAGAGAGAGCGAAGGTGCGCGTCGGCGCTGTGAAGTTTGCGACCACCTACGCGTTTCATACGACGCCGAGAAAGAATCGCGAAAAAAGGCGGAGAGTCGATCGAGAGAGTTCGATAGGTAAAAAAAGGCTGAACAAAGCGACACTGGGAGAAGGTGAGACAGCCGAAGGGGATCTTTTTCCGACATCTCTTAAATGCGTATTCAGAACAATCGCGAGATCATCGATAATTGTTAAGGCGCGAGAATTATGCAGCAAATATTATAGAGCAGATTGGAAAACGTTGATATGCTTGATTAGTCAACACGATTGATTTGAAGCGAGAGAGACAGAGAGAAAAAGAGAGAAAGAGACAGAGAGCCGCACAAAAAAGCGCGTGGATACTCAGGATGGGGATGCACGAGACACGTGACCACCTCCGCGCCGAACGGTTTTAAAACAACACCAAAAAAAGGCGGAAAGTGAAACCTTGACGAAGCGCGAGAGCAAAAACAGAAAAACAAACATACGATCGATCGATCTCGTCCCGATTTTGTACGCGCGTGGCTCCTCGAGACGTAATTTAAATTTCATAGAGCGTCTAAGGTCATGCTTGTTTTTTGTAGAACAAAAAACCTACAACTATTTACGGAATAAAATGTCGCTGAGAATTTTAACTCGATTAAGTAGATATTCCTGTGTCAATAGTAAATATCTCGTAGAGGAAAAACATATTTTACGATTGTCTAGAGTCTAAAATATTTTGACTGCTATACATATACATTCTTCAGTAATAACAATATACGATGATGGATGAATTTTTGGTCATTATTTGAAATTTATCACATATGAAACACATGTAAAGGAAAAATTTCTCGTCTATATTCTTATTATTACATTTTCCGATCGCTTAACATTTAAATACTATATAGTGTGAACTTAATTTTTACCGACGGCAAGAGTGACAGCTTCGTCATCTTTATTTCATATCACGAGTGAATTAATTATGCGTGTCTCGAGATTCGCAGACGCAACGGAAAAAAAGAAATTGTGTGCGAGACGATGATACGTATAGAGAAACGATCGACGGACAAACTAAAGAAGATTATAGGTGGAAGCGCAGCTGGTTTGTATAAGAACAATCTAAAATTTCGTATACCATTTATGCGAGAAATACACCCTCTTTTCTCGCAGCACTTTAAATATTATATTCCGCGACTTTTTCGTCGCCTTACGTAGTGTCGAAATTTGAAATACATTATGTAGGATCTAACAACGGAGAGAATAAATATGAGCGCGACGGATAGTACTATTCTTTATAATACAAACACTACACGATAATCTGATCGGGCGATTAATAACACACTTCCACGTAAATCATATAGTTTATCATCGTTTAATACTACTACACACTTTGTGACGTAAAATACAGCGTATGATACTGCGCGCGAATCGCGTGCGTCAACTTCGCATCTGCCTAAACCCATTTGAAAAAAAAAAAAAAAAAAAAAAAAAAACAATTCAGACAGAAGAGAAGACGAATGAAACGACAAGCGGAGAGGCAAGGGGAAACAGATTGAGAGAGCGAGAGAGGAAGAGAGTCCTTCGATACTCGATGCCCGGCAGCGATGGAAGACGAGATGATTCTCGCGCTCGACTCCCGGGCGTTACAACAGGTATCGATAATATTGGCAATGACAATAATAATAATTAAATTATAATAATCGCAATAATAATAATAATAATAATAATATAATAATAAGTGACAATAATAATGGGGTGGCGAATATTATAATAGCAATAATAATAATAAGATCACTGCGTGATTAAACGCCGGATTTGCCACATTTTATACATTTTCTCGAGACCAGACAATGAACGTCACAATAATATAATAATAATAATATGATAATATATATAATAATATAATAGAGTAATGTGTAATATAATAAACATAATAATAATACAATAATGATAAGAACATAGCTAAAACCTTGCAATCTATACATAGACTTTCGAATGTATCGTCACACGTTCCGCGCGTTTTCATATACATATATATCCTTTTTTCTATAATTTATATATAATAATATATCATCTATATATATATCATATAAATATATATATAGATTTTTTTTCGTGTGTATATACACATATAGATTTATGTATACTTACTCTTTATACAGAAGGGGTTTTTCGCGCGAGGGGGTATCTGTCTTGCCATCTCGCTAGGATTTCGCACGCGCTTTTCCGACACGTGTTTCCCTCTTCGATGTATTTGCGTTTGGACAATCCTGTCCCTTTTATTATATATAAACTGTCCCTCATTTTTTTTCTTCTACTTCGTCGCGCCGCATATTTTTTGTCTCTCTCTCTCTCTCTCTCTCTCTCTCTCTCATGCCATCTCTCATTATCTTTTTTTCTCCTCCGTTTATTCCAGCTCCTGCGTCTGTTTTTCTCGCTCGCCGACGACGATGACGACGACGATGACGATGACGACGACGACGACTCATGTTCTCTCTTTCTCACTTAACTTACTAGCTTTATCTAGTACATTATTTACAGTCCATATTTATACTTATGTTACATCATCCGCCGAGTTTGCTCCGAGCAAATCCCGCGCGAACACAACACTTCGTCCCCTAACGTTCTCTTGTTGTCGCCCGTTCGTCCGCCCCGTAAAATTGTCCCGCGAATTTTCAGACTCCCTTCGTGGACGATAAGCGGGAAAATCGCACGCGCACGGAAAAAAGACACCCTCGCGACGCGATGTTTCGTGTCCGATATTCGAGATCCCCGCTTTTGTTCGCGGGCGAGAGAAGAAGATGAAGACACATCTCCGTTTCTTTTTCGCCGCACCCTCGCCCGAGTCCGCATATTCGCGCACCCTGTTAGAACCATCCTTCTTCGGCTTCCCGTCGGAGACCGTCGAGTAAATTCACTTCCGTTCACCAACGATGACGAAAGAACAACAATAACAACAGCAAACAGGCAACAAAGTCCGCGGTCCAGTTCGGACTCCGCGAGACAGACGAACGGGCCCCGACCTGACCGCACGAAGGAGGAACGTCATCACTGACGATCTCTTCCTAGATGAGAAGATAATCACTTATCACCGGGACATCGACGTATCCTCTCGTATCCCGATTTTTTTTCTCCTCGCTCCTTTTCGTCCAGAGCTTTAATCTTCTACTTTGGGCTTGGCGGTCAAGGTCGAGAAAAGATCTCCGACCGAACGCGTCAGCTCCTCAGCCTCCCCGGTAGACCGGTCTCGGCCTCGTTGAACCCCGTTGAATCTCGTTGAACAAGCCACCATTTCGTACCTTCGTTTCGGTAACGCGCGCCGTCGTCCGGCAGGTAGAAAGGGCGCCGTGAATCCGTCAGCTACGAAGTCGTATAACTGCCGGTGCGCGCCTGAAGGTAGTGATGATAGAACGGCGGCAGGGTCGTCGTTTCTGCCGTAGACGACACGTTTGTCGAGTTTTGCGAGGTTACCGCGAGGCCCAACGGGGAGGCCCCGGCGAACGCTAGTGAGCCGCAAGCGAGTGAGCCGTAAGAGCCTGTGGGCTGAGCATCGGTGGACTGTGGCTGTGGCCCATGGGCGAGCCGTGTAGGTGATCCTGCGGATGATAACCCTGATGAAGGCCGCCCTGGCCCTGGTGACCCGGCGGTATACCCTCCATCATACCCTCGCCGAGCGTATTAGGCGGCGTCATCCTCTTCTCCTTCTGCCGTCGATTACAGAACCACACCCTGACGACTTCCTTCTCGAGTTGCAGCGAGTCCGCTAGCGAGGTGATCTCTTGAGCCGAGGGTTTCGGCTGTTTGTGAAAGTGTTGCTCGAGCGCGCCCTTCACGGATACTTCTATCGATGTTCTCTTCTTCCGCTTCCTACCTTGGGCGGCGATCTTGTCGATGCTCGTCGGCGAGCCGGTCGTCGAGTCAGCTTCCTCGAGCCACTTTTGTAGTAACGGCTTCAACTTACACATGTTCTTGAAGCTCAATTGTAGAGCTTCGAACCTACATATCGTCGTCTGCGAAAAGACGTTGCCGTAGAGCGTACCGAGAGCGAGACCGACGTCCGCCTGGGTGAAGCCGAGCTTGATGCGTCGCTGTTTGAACTGCTTGGCGAAGGCCTCGAGATCGTCCGACGTCGGCGTGTCCTCCTCGCCGGCGCTGTGATCCCTGTCGAGGGGATGTCCCGCGTGCAGCGGATGCCCCGACGGTGGACTGTGATTGTGCGCGTCCCTCAAGTGGTGAGGTAATCCGGTCTGATGATTGTGCAGCTGATGCGGATGCTGGTGCGGATGCTGATGCAGCATGCCGTTCATCGCCGCGTGGTACTGTTGCAGGGTAGTGGGCGAGGCCGCGCCACCGCTAGGGTTGTAATGCGCCGACGGAACGACCGGTGCGTGCCAAGAATGCGGCGAGGCCATGCCCGGGGACTGATGCGGCCCTCGATGGTGCATACCTTGGTCCGTCGCGGTCGCCGCGGCTGCCGCGGTCAGCGGTTTCACGTCGAGACTCGCATTAGCTTGATGAGGATGATGATGCGGATGATGGGTAGTGTGGTGCATGCCCATCGAAGCCGCCCAGGGATCACTGCCAGGTTGTAGGCTCACCCAGGGATTCGCCGACGAGAGACTCGCCGCCGGATGCGAGAGTCCATTCGGCGACGGCGAGGAGTTCACCTGATGGTGATGGTGATGGTGGTGATGATGCTGCGGCGCCGGCATGTACTTCATCTCCCGGCGTCGGCGGCGCTGCGGGGCGAACCCGAGGAATAGCCACCTACGGCGATGTTCATTCCGATCGTTGTACCCGAACCACCATCCAGGTCGGTAGACACTGCGCTACTAATCGGCATGTACGTGGTAGCGGCCATCTACTTCCCGCTCGTCGAGAGGTTTCGCGAAACCTTCTCGGTGTGGTTCCACGCCGTGGAACGCCCACGTTTCTCGCGCGCACCCCTTTCGCAGAAAGAATCCTCCGAACGTTGATGGATCCGTCGATATAGATCAAAGGATCGAGATTTTTTCACAAAATCTCCACGAAGATATCGATTGTCGCGGTAGAGTCTCCTCGCGCCTTCTTCGCGGATCTTAGATTCGACCGTTATCGGTTGTATGTCTCTAGTCACCTTATACGACGATCGAGAGGCAGTTTCTTTTTTTTTAATCACTGATCACTCGTGGCACAGTCCACAGTTCGCGATGATACACTAAATACCAGACGAAGCTGGTCATCGCTCTCGACGAACTTTCGTCCATAGTTTCTCAAGATTGTCATGCACGCGACGATACAGAAACATCGAGTCCGCGGAGAAGGCGTCGACGTATCGTCTTCTTCGTCTCGGCTCCAACGGGGTGGATCCCCGCGGAAGGAAAGCGTGGATCGGAGCACCGCCTTGTCGCAGCACTCGGTTTTCCTTTCTTCTCGCGGCACGAGACGAGTCGAAAAGTCACTCGCGACCAAGGGTATCGATTTAGCCGAGATCACATATCCCTGGTGGGGATTCGAATAATCACTCTTGAAAACGACGACGACGACGACGACGACGACGACGACGACGACGACGACGACGATGACGTCTACGGCGATGCGAGGATTACTCCACACTGATGTTGTGTCCGTGGCCCCGATGTGGTAAACGCGAACCGACGATGACGATGCACGTCGCGACTGCACTCGGGGGTTGCCACCGCGAACCGACGACCGAGCAACGAGCGAGCGACCGACCGGCTCGGCGTAAAGGGACGTACGACGGTAATCGCGGAACGGAAGAGACTCAACTCGACGGGAGTAGAGTAAGTATATGATGTCGTGCGTGTGTGTTCCTTCTGGCGGTGGATGTCCCTCTCTTTACGTGAGTGTACGTGTGCGTATACATACGGTATACGTGTATGCGTGAGAGTGTGGGTGAGAGAATACGGGGAGAGAGAGAATATGTATGTATATGTGTGAAAGATAGAGAGAGAGAAGAGAGCGAGAGAGTGTATGTGAATGTGTATGTGTATGTGTGTGTGTATGGCGGCGGAGGAGAGACGGGTTAGAAAGATCTCGCTCGGGCTTTCATGCGTTATGCATGTCGTAGCTGAGAGCGACTGACTGCCTCGCCTCGCAGCTCGCCCGAGGTTCCCGAGGCTCCCGGAGCCGCTTGTGGTGGAGGTACGTCATGCGCGCCACCGTCATGTTCATCCCTTCCAAACTTGTATATGCCGCTTCTGATTGGTCGACCTCGCAAGGTGGCCGTCGATGTACGTCAGCATCAGGCGGAACCTGAATAAGACCTGCCTACGAAGGCAGGCAAGGCACCCCAGGCACCAGTCCTTCTCGACCCCTCTTGTTGTCGCTCGACTACGCTCTCGCCTGGCTAACGATGCTCGTTCGCTGATGCCGTCGACGTTGCTGCTGCCTGCCGCCGCCGCGCCGCGTTGCGCCGCACCTCGCCGCATCCGCACCGTGCGCCGCACCGCACCGCACCGCACCGCAACCGCGCCGCGTTCCGTTACTCTCGCGGCGATTCGAAGAAGCATGACTCGAGCTGTCGACTCCACGCGACAGAACTCTGTTTCACGTCCGTCCTGTCATGACCTAGACTCCTCGCGACTTCTTCTCGGATGTGCACACAGTTCATCTTCTCTACGTTTATGTTCCGTTCAATATTGTGTCGTTTTTTCTTCTCCTTTTCATTTTTCACCGATCACGATGAACATTGTCGTGATCTCCCGATGACACGCGCACGCATGCAACAGGTACTAATTTCTACGGATAATTGTATGCATAGTGAGGCACATCGCGATACCTCGGATATTCCTGTCCTCGTAACGAAGTATATCTTTGTGAGAATATATCCGGTGGAAGCCTCACGAGGCTCGCATCGCGTGGAAGACGTTATATTAATTAAAGTAACGATAATATGCGTATAGAAAATAACTATTTATCCAGATATAATTAATAGTCGCAGAATCTTCACTTCCTTCTCATTTTCCAATTTAGAACAACCGTCCGAATACGCGATTTTACTCTACTGCATCACGATTGTTCCGCGAGAATCACGATGGCATACTCGTCACGTACGCGAGCGAAAGATCAATTTTTCAGGCACCGTCGCGGTACAATCCTGCTCGTCGACAGTTTCATTTCCTTTTCGCGTAGCTCGCGGTGCAACAGGTGTACGGGTAATCGTTGGTCTCGACTCGTCCGCTGATTACGCGCGCCTTCGTTATCGATATTCCGCACCTCGCACCGTAGCGAGAAGCAAAGAGGAATAAGCTAAAAGTTTAATCCCAGTCCGAAATCTCGATTTATGATTACGGAAAAATTTTCTTCTTTCTCTCTCTCTCTCTCTCTCTCAGAAAAATGATGACAGCTACGTTGAAAATAAACCCAAGAAAGTTGTATGACGAATGAACTTAAAAAAACTGATGCACAGATTTATATATACTTCAATATTGTTCAAGAATTTTCAGAACACATTATTTGCGATATCCGCCAATCTTTCAAAATCGCAGATACAGAATTTTCAACTCACCTCGTACTTCGAGATGGTTAATCGCCAAATTCCTCCCGCGGGAGGGAGTAGTATCAAGAATCAAACACAAAAAGCGAGTGAATGAGCGAAAGCGAATAAGTGTATTGAGAAGAGAAAAGGAGGGAGAGGACGAGGGGGATGAACGCGCGAGTGAGCGAGGTTTAGTACATTTAAATGAGAGCCACAGGTAGCAGCATTATGCAGTACGTGCCAGCCACCCCTCAGAAGGGGTGAGTTAGATCATCGTGTGCCGCGGGATCCTCCTGTGTCGTAGTCTGTTTCAACTACCCGACTGGCTTTGCGCGCCTTCGCACCTGTGGCCACGCTCGCTCGCGTTATTGTTGCCGCTAACTTCCTTCTTTCCTTTTTTTTTTCTTTTATTGCTCGCGCGTGCGAGGAAGCGCGGCTAATTATCGCTTATACGAGACGTACGCGAATCTCTCGAGCATTACAATAAAAATACTAAAAAAAAGGAAACGATAACTTATATCTCTCCCTTACGTTTTCTTGCCTCGTGATTCGAATTATCTCAAGAAGAAGATTTTAAAAATGTTAATATATTTTTTAGGAATAAACATTATAAATTGACTGGGTGCTCGAATTCATCGAGATTTACCTAATAGAAATTATATATTCATATATATAGATTTAACGTGCTAAAAGTTTCAGAAAAAAATTCCTACGAACAATTAGCTATTTGACGTTTCTAAATCGACACGGTGAAACTGAAATTCTCTTAACATCCGGAGAAATCATGGCTTACATTAAAAATATCGCGACGCTTCGGTGGATGACGATTGGTGTCGCCGCGGAAAATCGTCGATATTTCACTTCGACGACTTTTATTGCGTCTTTCTTATCGCCATCGCGACACGCTCACGCGGTGATCGCAAAGCTCGGTCGCGATGAGAGAGAAATTATGCATTCCGCGTGTACGCGGGTGTACGTTGCCCGCGAACGGTCTCCGGAATTTCACTCGTCACGTCCCCTTTCTCCATTCCGTTGCTGCAAGTATGTATACGCAAAGCTTACTCAAGTTTCTTGGACCTTAGAATACAGAATACTCGAGATCCCGATAATATATACTGTATTATTAAATTAAACGACTAAAAAACATTATCAAATATATATTAAACATTAGATATTAATAAGATATCTTTTTTCTACAATATGCTAAAATGATTTTCGCGATTTTATTTATATACAAGTTTCGCACGCATCGCATTAACAATTCGACGGAACGAAGGCCGACCATCCGTCTTTTCTATCCCTTTTTCCCCGCTTTTTACCTTCCGCTGTCCGTCAACTTTTCGCGGCTACGCCGACATCACCGATGATCTACGAGCGACCGATACAAGACTCGCGCGAAGCGCATAAATTCACGTTCGTTATGCGCGCAACGGTGGCACGTTGCCATAAGTGCCACTGCTTGTCGTGGGACACCGTAAACAGAAGGTCGGTGACAGAGGGACCGGGGGAAAAGGGTAGGCCAATAATAGAATCGTCTTTACATATGTATCGCTCTGAACTGACAGATTATGAATAGCGCTGCTTAAAATGCCGAAGACGGATCTCGTCAAACGCTCGTTCGACCGAGGTGATATGACGCGCATACGGTTTTAACGCGACGCGCGCGTCTTTCGCTAAATGTACAATACGGACTAAGATAGGGAAGGGACTTCAGAAAGGGGAAAGAACGCACAAGAGTGCTGGAACGCTGCGCGAAAGTAATATTATCGACTTTAGGCAAGTTTAAAAAAAAAACTGCAAATTTAAAAGTTTTATTTAATTTGTTTTACTTTAAAAGAAAAAATGCATTCGCTAAACATATGTGTATATATGTATAATGTATATGTAATTATTTGTAATTATCGTATTAGTTAAAAAATCTGAAATTAATAAGAGACGCGAAGCGAAAAAGTAAGTTTCTCTTGTATAATCGCTTTAGTTATTTAATTGATCACGATATATTGTCGCTCCTATCTCTTCGATCGTTATCTTGGCGATGCGATATAGATAGCTGCTCGGTCTCGCGAAGTTTCCTGGCGGAATCGTGTCGATCGATCGAGTGGGTCGCGCCGTCATAATGCACCCTTAATTCGATTTCGTGTACCCATTGTGTCAAATTGGATTGAATGCTGCCGTGAAATATTTGCTTAGGATCCGACAGGTAGCTATAGCTAGCTGGGTTTCCACATCGCGTACACGGGACAACCTTGTGGTAGGGAAAGGAAGGAAGATTAGGGACGACGAGAAACGAGAGGAGAAAGAGAAAGGATAGGTGCGAGGAAACGCAGAAAACAACCAGCACACAACGGCCTAACTCCGCGCGAAAACGCTTTACTACCTGAATGT